TTTTTTTTTTCTTTCTTTCTTTCCTCTGGAAATGATTTTAGGAATATATTATAGCTATTCAAAGAATAACTCACCTTTAGAGCCCTGTAGATATAACTAACACACTTTCTGTTGACTGTCAATATTTGCCTGTCTAATTGGTTTTTAAATAAAATGTCTGTTTTATCCAAAGTAACATTTTTAATGGGATGTTTTCCTCTTAAGCTGAAAACAGCTGTTCTCCAGACTATTTCCAATGTAAAACAACCAAACATTGCATTTCCAAGCTGTGGGTTTGTGACGAAGATCCAGACTGTGCAGATGCATCAGATGAGACCAACTGTGGTGAGTGTTTTTTGACTATGGATCTTATCCATTGTATTTGTGTCATCATCTGAGGTGGCCAGGGTGGAATGGGTTTAAACATCATCTCAGTGAAACTAAATTCTTACCTAAGGAAGTTTCCCCTCTGTGTTCATAGAGCCATAGCCACCTAGTTTAGCTATTTTGTGTAAAACATGGAGGACTGAGGGCAAAATTTAGTATTGCTAAGTATAATACACATTTCAAAAAGGACAAAACAAAATTTAAGATAAGAGGCTAAGACTATCATCTTATGTTTGCCTGAGCACGTGGTATTAGCACTTAGTGAATAGCAACAAGTAAACACTGTTTTGCTATTGGCCTACAATTCATTTATTTTTCTGATTAAACATATGATTGATTTCTCTTTCATTCACTGCTTATTGTTCTTTATTCTGAACCATGCTGAACAAAGTAAACTATAATGAAAGCATCTGTTGTGTTCTAGTAGATGAATGTGTTTCCTTACTTAGTTAGCATTTGTTTATGAAACAATAATATTTTCTTTTAAATATATTTGTCATAATTATTTAATTATCATTGTAGAAATTGAAAAAATACTAATTACTTTTAATGCATTTGACTCTATCTTGAAATGTCAAAAGTGAGAAAGAAATGAACAGTAGCTGCCACATGTATTTGTTAAATATTAATTGATCTTAATTTCTAGGTAAATATACACAATTTGGAATTTTTCGGGAAAAAAAAAAGTAATTTAGTAATTGTGTAGAAAGAGGAAAATATTGATCAAACTAAAGATAAGATTTCCAGGTTTCATAGACAGAATTATATTGAATCCATTTTTTAGATTCCACACTTTTTTTTTTCTTGCAATTTTACATTACCTAATGTTAGTCACTTTTTTTTTTTTAAGTAAGTTTTTATTGTGATTTGGGTTCAAGTTTACAGAATAAATTGGTTTTCAATGCATATTACCCTTGAATTCCTCTTATGGGGGAAATGAAGAACCTTTAGGTTTGACTTATGCTGAATAGCATTTATTAGCTACATGCATAATTCATAGTAATATAACATGTCTTTGAATGATCTGCCTAATATTGTTTTCCATGTAACTGTGTCTTCAGAACATGCAACCAATACTAAACACATTGTGGAACTCTATTTTCATCAGTAATCCACAAGTCTTGAAACTACTACATTCAGCAATAAATTGCCATAAATGATTATAAAGTACTTTCAAAGGCTGATTTATTTACTGGCTAATTTCCAATGTAGTGTTTTGCATTTTTGTTTTCCAAACCAAAGCCAAATGGAACAATGACAATGAACAATAAATAATTCTTTACTGTTGTGTTATTTCTATTATTTATTTATTGCCTCCCCTCACCTGTGTATGATATAACTCTTTTGGGTAGATTATGTTGTTCAATTGTCCTGTAATTATAAATAATAACAATAATAATAAATGATTTTTAACTGGTGCTTATCATATGGCCTAGGCAATGTGCTAATAGCTTTATAGTGATTATCTCACTTAATCACGTTATTATTACTTTCTTAAGGTTTTCTAGAGAAACAGAACCAGTAAGACAGATTAATTGATGATACAAAAGCACCAAACCCACTGCCATCAAGTCAGTTCTGAGCCAGAGTAACCACACTGGGTTTCCAAGGTGGTAAATCATTATGGAAGTAGTTTGCACCATCTGCCTTATATGGAGCGGCTGGTGGGTTTAAACCTCCAACCTTCTGGTTAGAAGTCAAATGCCTTAGGCACTATGTCACCAGAATTCCTTTAAATTGAAGATAGAAATATTTTAAGGAACTGGCTCATGTAATTATAAGGGGCTGGCAATTTGTAGGCCAGGCTACATACAGGATGAATATTTCTGCAGTCTTGTGTCCAAAAATCCATAGTTCAGCCAATGGGAAGAGGGAAAAGAGGAGTTCTGGCAAAATGTCTATTTATAGTCTAGAAGGAGAATATACTTTGGAGAAACTTCTTTTTTTATTTTAAGGCCTAAAATTGATTTTCTGAGGCCTGTTCACATTCTGAAGGATAATATGCCCTACTTAAGGACAACTGATTTAATCACATTAACTATCTCATAATAGCATCTAGACTAGTGTTTGGCCTTATAACTGGGCAGCATAGCCTAGCCCAATTGAAACATACTATTCACCATCATGATCCTTCATTTTAAAGATGAGGGAAATGAGACACAAGGAAGTTACAGAACTTACCTGAAATCTCCCTGATAACTAATAGTGGGACTGGGACTTTAATATAAGATTGTTTAATACTAAAGGAGCTCTGGTGGCATAGTGCCTAATGCATTTGACTGCTAACCAGAAGGTTGGCGATTCAAACCCACCAGCCAGTCCTCGGAAGGAAGGTTAGGCAATCTACTTCCATAATGATACTGCCTCAGAACCCCAAGGAGGGGTCATCTATGAGTCAGAATTGTCTCGATGGCAATGAATTTGGTTTTTCAGTTTATACCAAGCATGGACTTTGAAGCACTTTAGGCACAATGGGTGGAAACAGGTGTTGGGGGGAGAGAGACAATAGAAAAGCCTAACAAAAATATGAAAGTAAATTAAAAAAAAAATGCACATGTATTTTAAGGAATTAAACTCACAATTCTGTAAATATTTTTTGAAATTATTCAATTTGTATTTTTAATGCAATAATATATTGATCAAATTTAACATTATGCAATTTTTGAGGTCTTTTATGGGTACTTGCAAATTTAATAAATAACAATGAATGTTAATCTGGAATTCACAGGGGTCTGAAAACCACCTTGACTGGATATTGATTAAATACATTTTAGGAGTAACATACATCAATCTAGTTTTGGTGAGATTTTAGATATAAATTTTAAAAATTGAAATAACTATATAATTTTTCATATTATTATACTTAGATTTTTTAGGAGCTCTGGTAGCTTAGTGCCTAAGGCACATGACTGCTAACCAAAAGGCTGGAGGTTCAAACCCACCAGACTCCTCGGAAGGAAGATGGGACCATCTACTTCCATAGTGATACTGCCTCAGAAACCCAAGGAGGGGTCTCTATAAGTCAGGTCTGACTTGAGGGCACATAACAACAACATACTTACATTTTAAGATAGTTAAATATATGGATCTGTAAAATTTACATTTAGTACATTTGGTTTTACATTCCTAAATATTTCCAAAAATATTCAACTCTAATTTTGTGTAAATTAATATTGAAATCTATGGTATCCTGACAGTCATGGCAAAATAGTTGTGATCTCTTTTGACAGTTGTTAAAGTTCTTAAAAATTAATATTATTATTATTTTTTGCTTGAATTTGCTTATTGACTTTTCACTATTTGCTAAGAAAAAAAGAAGAAGAAAAGCCCACAAGATGAAAAGAAAACATATATATGTACTTTTATTAGAAACTGAAACTGTATACATTGATTACTATCATAAGGCTTTTTCACTATTTGGTATAATATTGACAAATACCAGATTTGAACATTTGACCAAAATAAGTAGAATACTTTGATTGTAGCAGTGCTAG